TCGAGCTTGAGTTGCATCGAATCCTTGGCGCACTTGAGCACCACAGAAGCCTTGTTGGCTGAGTTGCATTCCACTGAACGCAATCTCACCGTTAGCATTCATAGAATAAGGGACAGTAACAGTGCCGTCACCTTGAGTTGGAATCTGCATGAGCTGCATTCCCGAAGGAACTTGCATCATTTGATTACCTGTAGGAACTTGGATCATTTGAGTACCTGTAGTACCAGCAAGTTGCAAAGGTGTGTTAACATTTCCCGCAACACTCAATGTTCCACCTGTGATCACACTTGTCGCTGGAGAAGGTCCAGGAACTGTAGCTGTAGTTGGGACAGTTGCTCCAATCTGATTAAGATTGAGCTTCTTCCCATAATCAACATAGTGTTTCGGATGCTTCCATTGAGTCTCTGGTAGCAGTCTGTCTGGACATTTCGGAGACAGGAATCCTGTTGCAAGAACTGCTTCAAAGATATCATCCTTGAACTTGTCTCTAGCAGTAGTATCGGTGCTAGCAATAGCAGCATACGCTTTCGTCTTGACTGCAAAATTTTGGAACCAGGCAACGCCATATAGATCTTGCATGACTTCAGCCTGTCTCAAGAATCGTTCCTTGAAATGCATCAAGTTTTCAGTTGCTCCCTGCTTCATAGCAAAGAACTTTTGATTGGCTTCCCAGAAATCCAAGAAGTCATACTCAGCATCTGCACTCTTCTTCATGAATGGTTCAATACGTTTCAAGAGTTCGGTTGGATCTTCAAGAGTAGTCATGAAATCGGCTTCACCTCGAAGCTTGATATCCATCGCTTTCGTCACAAACTTCAGCATGATGTTTGATTTGACAGTTCGCTTGTTTGTTTCAAAGTAGGCTGCTCTTCACATGTTCTCTTCGAGCTTTGCAGAATAGAGAATCTTGTTTTGAGCCATCTCTGTTTCTCTTGCAACAGCTTCAGTTTGAGTTGGAGCATTCAATGTTGGAGCGATCGCATTGAAGTCGATCGACTTTCCATCTCAAATTTCACCATGTCTTCGGAACATTTCATTCCAGAAGCTTGGATGTAGTCAATCACTCTTTCTTTGGCATCTTCGTACGACAATCTTGCCTTTCCATCGTTTTCATCTTTTGTTGAAAATAGATGTTTCACAACTGTTGAACTCAAATTGCTCTTGACTTTCTGAGGAGTCACATGTCCTTTTCCTCCACCGGAAGAAGAACGTCCCATAGTCAACGAATCACTCACTCCTTTGTAGATAAGGCAGTGCTGTTCTTGACGTAAATTTGTTTTGTTGCCTTTTGTGATTGAATAAAGCAAAATGTGCTCTATCGTGAGTGCCTTTAGTGCTCAGAACAAACTCTCTGCAATCTAAATTTGTAATCGACTGTACAACACTTTCACAACAATAGTTCTCCTGTGTTAGGTATACTTTGAGTGAAATTGTTCCTATTTGATTAATGTTTGGCTTGAATTGATGATTCAATCACAAAATAAGTGAGTTCAACGATTTTCCCTTGGAAAATCCCTTGTTTACAGAACTTGATGACTTCTTCGAGGATTCTGTGTTGAATGCAGTACTTTGGGACATCTTGTATTATACCCTACTGTATTGTACACAACATCGATATTCCACTTGTATAGGGTCTTTCCCTTTTTGTGTGGATACAGATTGTCCGGCAGACTTGCGTCGAATCCCGACATCACGATCAAAATCCGATCGCACGTGTTGAAAACCTTGTACTTGAATAGTTTCTTTTGGAACGTAAAAACTCATATTTTGTCATATCCCAACAAGGATAATCGTACCAGGAGTAAAATAGCGTTTTGCTCCCATTACTTGGTCCTGTTTTCCTCTGTTCGCATTTCGTATCTTATTCACTCCGATGAGTCGACACAAGACACAACTGAATAACCCGTTCACAATCACTGATAAGAGCCAGGGAATATATTAGTCCAAACAAATCTCCATTTCTCCAATAGTCAATAATGAAAATTCGAGTGCCGCCAACACAAGGAAACATTCCTGCCTTTCTTCCCATCGGACAGGAAGCCAATATGGAAGAAAGTGGCATCAGAAGGTGCAAAGCTTAAGTAGATGGAAAACTTCCAACAAAAGAATACGTACAAAAGGTAACCAATAGTGTCAGTGGGTGAAGGCCAATCTAAGATGGCGAAAAAGAAGTGGTACCAGAGGGTACAAAGGAAGAGGCAGGAGCAAGAGAGTACGGTCCAGATTTGTTTGGTGAGGATGGAAGGCCAATGAAAGATGGCAAAAAGAATGTGGTACCCGATGGTACAAAGGTGAAGGCTGGTGGAAGAGAGCCAGTCGTAGACAAAGCCAAGGGCAAGTGAAGGCCAATGCAACAATGCATAAAGGATGCAAAAGAAAGCAGAGCAAATTAGAGCATTAATGCATTGACAGAATCGTCAGGTTTGATGAAGAGCAGAAAGCGCCTCAGAAATGATGTCATGAAGGGCGTCATCTTGGCCGATCATCGCGAGGGCATTGGCAAGGAGGGCTGTTGTGGTGTCCCTTGCGTTAGGGGCAACAGTGGATTCATCAATGGGTGTCAGCATCTTTGCTTTGGCAGCTTCTACGGCGGCCTTCTTTCTGGCAGCCTCATCTTTTAATCAGCTGATGGGGGTTTGCATTCGGCCGTGGGATGAGTGTGCCATTTGAGGTTGTTATGGTTTTTGATACAACAGCAGAAATGCCAAGTTGCACCATTGTACTGTTTAGTGTCACCAATAACATACTTCGCACCTCCCTCAGATTCTGGTTTCTTGAAGGACAAACAAAAGGGGGCAATTGAACGTGCGTTGTGGTCTTGGGAGTCGATTGTGAAGCCACCTTTCTTGGGACCAGTTCCTTGTACAGCTAGCATTTGTTGCAACACTTGCAAGGTTTGTGCAATGTCCGCGAATGCGGCATCTTGTTGATCAGCCATTGCTCTTCTTGTGTTGACAATGGTATGATATTGAGGAGCACGATTGGGCTCAAAGGGTTTGAAAGTGGAGCACGGTCGGGCTCAGAAGTAGTAGTTAGTGTTTAACAATAGAGGGTAAATACTTTGAAATAAATACGATTGCGTGAGGAAGATCTTCCGTTAGGAATCGTTGGGCTCAACAACCTGTAATTATTTTGTTGAAATGATGTGAAGTAAATATTATGATGAAGTATCGGAACCGTGGAGACCAAAGGCAAGTAAAACGTGTATCGAAGATAGGTTCCTTCGAACACGTACTTCAAAGTCATAGAAGGTCGACTCCCTCGATTCTTATGGTGGCGACTCTACAGTAGAGGAGATCGCCACAAATCAAATCGCGATGCCGTCGCAGAATTTTTCAGTTGACTGGCAGACGCCAGCTCATCACACCAATCGTGGTTTTGATGTTTCTTCCTTTTGTGGAACTTCTTTGTTGACCACCCATCACATTAATTGCTCTCTTCTTTCGGCAAACATAGTCGATTGGAATACAGCTTTGGTTTTAAGGAAAATAAATGAGCTCGGTCACTCACAAGAAGTTTTTCAGTTCAACTGGTGTTTATTTGTTGCTTTCAATGATGTTTAGCAGGAAGGCTGCAAGCAGGTTGCTTGTTGGAGCTTTCAACACCAGAAGCACACACATTGTGACTAGAGGGATTTCCGCAAGGTTTTCCTCCAGCGTAAGACCAAGATGGCTTTCGACTCAAGGTGTTGCGCGGGTAGATGAAGATTTGGATGCTGCTCTCGATAACTTGCTTGGTTCTACTTTTGATGAAGATGACACGGTCGGAAACGCGGACGCACTCGCAATGGAGTCGCAACCAGTTGCGAGCGATGTTGAAGAAGTGAGTAATTGTTTTCTGGGATTTACGGTAATCGGATCTTGACTGCTCACACTCTATCTCTAATGCTTGTAGATCAATCCTGAAAAGTTGAAAGACCCTACATTTTTGTCCACCAGCAATCCTCATTGGGTTCAGGCTGGACTCTCTCCACAAGTGATTGACGTTCTTAGCGAAAAGGGTATTGTTGAATTTACTCCCGTTCAAGCAGAAGCATTCGGGCCTGTGCTATCCCGTAGAGATGTCATCGGACGATCGCGAACGGGAACAGGTAAAACTCTTGCATTTGGTCTCCCAGCCCTAACCCGACTCAACCAGTTGGCAGAGGCCAAGGGTTTCCGCGACGACCACGGCCGTTTGGTGCGTGGAAGACCAGTCTCAATGGTTGTTCTCTGTCCGACACGAGAACTCGCTCGTCAAGTCCAGGAAGAGTTGTCTGCTGTTGCCCGACCACTTGGACTTTACACTGAAGTATTTCACGGTGGAGTATCTTACGATCCACAGGTATGATTTTGAAAGATTGGATTTGAATGATATGTGATAAATTTGTTCTAATCTGTTGTCTTGCAGGCACGTGCTTTGAGGCAGGGTCTGGATATCCTAGTTGGAACTCCAGGACGCATTATTGACCACATGCAACGAGGAAACCTGAATCTAAGCGAGTGCGACATTATTGTACTGGACGAGGCAGATGAAATGTTAAACATGGGATTTGCAGATGACGTTGAAGTCATTTTGGATGGTTTGGGCGAAAACAATGACAAAAAGCCACAATGTCTCCTCTTCTCCGCCACAACACCTCCGTGGGTAACCAATATTGGACGGAAATACCAGGAGGACGTTGTCGCCATTGACGCAACAGGTGACGAGGGTGGTGCTCGTGTTGCAAAAACAGTTCGTCACATGGCTGTACAAGTGCCCCCTGGGGCTGGATCGAAGAATGCAGTCCTAGAAGACATTATCGCAGTCGAAATATCAAAGGACAAAAATTATGTTGGAGCAGGCGATGTTGATGAAAACCTCGAGGAAGCCCCCGTAAACGAAATAGCTGCAGCGGCTGCAGCAAAAAAGGAAAAAACAAGTGGCGCAATGCAGCAAAAGATCTTCGGAAAAACCATTGTTTTTACTGAAACTAAGCGCCAGGCGGACGAACTTGTCTCTGGTGGAATTTTCAAAAGTTTGAGCGCCCAGGTGAGCCCGCAAATATTGATATAATCATGCAGTCATTTGTTGAATCTGTACTCACTGGAATCGGTAAAACAGGCACTCCATGGTGATGTTGGTCAAAAGCAGCGTGACGCAACCCTCGCTGCATTTCGTGCTGGCGCATTCAATGTACTTGTCGCTACTGATGTTGCCGCGCGTGGGATCGATATCAAGGATGTCGACCTTGTAATCCAATTCGATCCCCCCCGAGACGTTGACACATATGTTCATCGATCAGGTCGAACTGGCAGAGCTGGACAAAAAGGAGTCTCCGTTCTACTTTTCGACCAGCGCCAGCAACGCGACATTGTTCGCATCGAGAGAGATCTTGGCCATGGTTTTAAATTTGATCTCACTGGCCCACCTTCTATTGAAGCTGCTTTGCGCGCCGCAGCCAAGACCTCAGCCGTTGCTTCAACAGCGATTCCTGACGAAACAGCTAAATTTTTCATGGATGCTGCAGCCTCTCTTCTGGCGGAAGGAAATCCAGAAAACGTTGTAGCCCGCTGTCTCGCTGCAATATCTCGGCGATCAATAGAGGTCCAGAGTAGATCTCTTATTACCGGAGAGCTTGGACTGTCGACTGTTCAAATGAGCAATAGCAAAGGAACGCCGGTCTCACCTGGTGATGTTATGTTCACAGTAGGCAAGCTTTCCAGAATGAGTCGACAAGAGGGAGACCTCACCTTTGACAGTGATGTTGGCAAGATTCAAGCCAATCCTGAGACTGGAGTTGCTCTGTTCGATATGGGTGTAAGTGCCTGTGATGTTTGGAAGTTTTGTATATGCTGCGTTGTCTAACGATCGAAATTTCGATCATTTAGGTCGAAGATGCAAAGAGACTGATTGAATTTAGCAAGGACATTGAGGCTGGTGGAGCCGTTTTCTCCATACTAGAAACGATGGAAATTGAACGTGGAAGAAATTTTGGTCGTCCTCAAGGCAGGTTTGATCGGGACGGCAGAGGAAGATTTGGCAGAGGAGGTAGAGGAGGTAGAGGAAGGGGTGGGGGTGGAAGAGGTGGAGGTTACAGAGGCGGCAACCAGTCTAACCGAGGCCGTCGCGATGATTTTGGTGAAGGAAGAAGAGGTGGAGGTTACGGTAGAGGTGGAGGTAGAGGTGGAGGTTACGGTAGAGGCGGTGGACGAGGAGGCTACGATGGGCGAAGTAGGGCTGGTGACTACCAGCGCGGCAATCAAGGCTTCCCACAAAACGATGGCTGGTAATTGGTGACATTTGTTCGGTCGTGGAGGAGCATTGTATTGCTTAGTACATCTAGGGATGCAGCTACACCGAGCTTGCCTTCAAGAAGACGCAATCTCAGGCGCTTAGGGCGACAAGTCGCTAGTTTTGCAAAACCAAAATGTACAACCTTTCTCGTGCACCGAAATTGCATTTCTGATTTTTTGAGTTCTAGACTAATAATACATTAAAACACATAGAGGCTGCGTTTGCCAAGTCTTGTTAACTCGCACTTCTTCTTGCCTTTGCGATAACGTGACCAAAATTCAAAACAGGACGACTATGGGTTTTCTTAACACTGAAACCATGATCGACTGATATCTTTTCGTCGAATATCTTTAGAATAGATCGGTCTTTGTCGGTAGCCTCATGCTTGACAGCAGCGTCAGCAGCTTGTATTGACCGTCCACGAACAACACTATTTCACCATATTTCTTTTCCTTGCTTGGCACTCGGTCTTCTCCCAGCTACAGCATAGCATGAGCTCTGAAACACCAAAGTCTTGCAGACAGATGGGATTGGCATCACTAAAAGACCCTAAACCCGCTAATAGGAAGCTGCATAGGTTGTGAGTTCGTATCTTCAAAATGTGGCAGTATTTGCCTTGACTTACTCTTTCATCAACATGTGGAAGTTTGAGCAACAGTTCAAAATTGATACCCGAGCTTTCATTTGAAATGACAGAGTGCTTATTGCTGACAACATACTTTCATCAGCCGTAAACCTTCCTGCGTTCAAAACTTCATTGATCAGGCCCGAATTCGGAGTTACATCTCGAGAGTTGACAAAAAATCTGTAACTCGAGTTCATGCTATAGGCTTTCTGCTCGTCACTCATTTCAATGCTCTCGCTTGTGAAGAGTATAGCTTGACCACTGGTGCCATCCTCATTATACCTTGCCAACTTCTGCTTGGCTAAGCGAACGGCTTTCATATGATCAGCAAAAGTCATGCATTCCGATTCACGGTGGCACTTATCCGACGCTCTAATTGGCAGCCCAACCAGTGAAGAAGATGACTCAATGGCAGGAGGAGTAATCTCTCGCATTATCTCGTCTAACATCAATCGGTTTTCGAAGTTAGGTCGCAAAGCAAAAATTTCTGCTGCATGATTGATTAGATTCGTAGAGGCCGGATAGGAGAAACTTGAAGAGTTCGTTTCTAGTCTTGAGTGACCTGAATGTAGAATATATCTCAAAACTCGACGAAAAAAAGATCTCTGACCAGATTCAAGGGGTACCGGTTGGAATAATTCTCGAATATATTGGTGAAGAAGATCAATAGCAGTGCTTGGAGGTAGTTCAGTCACTCCGTACTTCTGAAGTACCCAAACTCTATTGTCCATTTCACTTGTTGGAATGTTGCGGACATGGCCGTCTCTGAAGTAGTAGTGGTACGGTTTGTCCAATATATGAGCATTAGCAACCATCTCCCATGTCGGAATGCAAGGCGTGAGGGGATAGTAGACACACTGGAAATCTCCACGTTTGCAAGAGCTCAACTTCCAAGCTTTTCTGATAAATTTTGGTCCCTTTTCGCCATTCTGAATCAGAAGGACGGTCCGATTTGTGACTAGACCCGATAGTATCAAGGTGGCAATTGCGGCTCTAGTATTACTACCGAGCCCATCTACAAAGAGAAGGGTGAGACATAGGTAATACAGGTAAGAAATACCTGACCGTTTCAGCCAGCAGTCAAACCTTAGCATTCAATACATACTGGCGGTCAACCCACCGACAATAAACTTCGAAGACGGGCATTCGAAGTCGAAATTGCTAACATTATGATGCCTCATTTGCAAACTGCACTGGGTGCTTGACTCGTCGTGGTGCCGCAGCTCGGCTTCTTGTCTTGCTGGCTTGTGTTGATGGTATTGAATGGCGACAAAAACGAGTTTCACCGCCCAGTGGTGGATTCTTTGAGGTTCGGTATTGTCCAACGCTCCAGGAAAGACGGTGTCTACGAATGACGATCTGTTGTCCGCCAGACTCTGCGACAGATACGGGAGAAGCTCAGTGAAACTTGAAAAGGGACGAAACCTTGTCGTCATGTTCTCAACGTAGACACGCGGGATCTTGTCATTTGACATACGCCGACTATTTAGCCATTCATATGAATTCTGAGTCAAGCAACCCTTCGCAATATCAGAGGGAGTGGAAGGTATATTGCTTTCTGCCCCATCCAGAAACATCGTTAAGTCGTTCAAAAATTTAAATCTTGCTATGGCAAAGCCAATTACAATGAGTACACAAAACCAAAGATCCGTTCGTCCACTAGCTTTGTAACGTGAAAGTTTGCTCATGGTCATCCGTACCAACAAAAGATGCCAATCATCATAGACTTATGTCGCCCAGATAGAATTTCAAAAACGATATTGAAAACTGTGTATTAATACAGTACTATTCCATGAACACGCGAGGAGTTTTCGAATGTACGATTTTCATCAGAAGTTCAGTCATTATCACGTAGAACACGTAGAATTAGTACCAATCCGAAGCCGACAGCCAGCAGATTTTGATTTATCCCATCATCGTTATTACAGAGGTCTTCATCAATGAAGAACTGAGTCAATTCAACACCCGACGTACATTGACAATATGGCCTTGTCAAGTGTCCAATGCCTATTATAATGGTAACACTCTCATACCGACATTGCCACTGCAGGATATGATATTAGTATCGGAGTGACACGTGCCCATTTTCAAAAACAAGCAATGAAAAAAGCGTCGCGGTCGTTGCTGTTGCTGTGAAATTACGGCGCGGGCAACAGAAATCGTGGCCGTCGTATGTTCATAATTTATTCATCAGCATTTCTTTCAACCACGATGACGACGACCGCAGCACCAGCAGCATCGACAACAACAACAACAACAACATCATTGATGGCAATAATACAAACACAAACAACAATCACACGAGCACAAACAACAATCACGCTGGCTTAAGAAGAGCGGGAGGTGAAAAAGCAAGCGCAGGCAAAGGCAAGACGAGAAATGGTTTTGGGGGCTTGTCATGAGGAGGGATGCAAAGATGTGCGAGGAGTTGGGAATCGATGCAGTCTCCTATAAAGCATATCACCGATCACATGTTTCCAAGGTCATGGGAATTGCTGTGACTGCTTTTGCGTTCAAAGACTCTATTGAAAACGGTGGAGACGGCCTCAAGATTGGCTTCTATCGTGCCCAAACAAACAAGGTTGCAAAGAAGCTAGTAAGGCAGGGAGTACGACAGGATGATGGTTCTATCAAGCGAACTGGAGCGGTGATAAGAGAAAAAGGGGACTTGTACTTGGTGGATTGTAATGTCACTGGATCGTCAGAAGGGACCCCTGATGATCCAAAGTTTGCATTGAAGAAGTTGTTTGAGCATCACATCTTTCAAAAGTTGGATGGTCTTGTGGCGGCAGGAGGACAATACGAAGGATACATTCCTGTTATTCAAGGTGACAATGCAGGGCCGCATGCTGAAAAAGAATACTTTAATTGGTGCAAGGCTCAATGTGAACAACGTGGCTGGCACTGGGAACCGCAAGCTCCACAAATGCCGCATATGAACAACTTAGACTTGTCAGTATTCCCCTGCATGTCGAGACGTCATTGTGCAGCCGCAAGAGAGAGGGGAGGGCTCCATGTTTTGAAACAGGACGAAATTTGGGATGCAGCAGAGGACGTTTGGAGAACACTTCCTAGCTCGAAGATTGCATCAGGTTTTGTACAATGCAGCCGGATAGCATCAAAAGTAATTGCATTGGAAGGGGGCATCGATTTTGTTGGAAACGAGATAGAGAATGGCATTCATTGTGATATCCGAAAAGATTACAATGAAACTCCCACTGGGCTTTCTAGGAAAGACGGAGAGATGATCAACCCTCCAGCACCAGCAACAGCAATATAGCTTACCTCTTACTTAGTAGCAATGTATTGATTGTATCTCAGAATCAGAATGAATTCAACTTGTAGTCATTGATCTCCAATCCTTCCCTACAGTATAGCTATTGTAACGTTGTCAATCCTTTTTCGATCGGCACTTGTTTGCGTACGTGTTTCTCGTGAAAATAAAAATTCGTGCGAAAACCGAGACCTGCATTTTTCGAGAAATGGAGCTCGTAGACGGAAGAAAGCGGTCGAACCAATGGACTCAATAGTGACTCCATGAACGACGGTAGGGCGACCGTCATCTCAGTATTGCACCAGCAACCTAAGTCGGATCTACACATATCGAACTTGTGTGCAAGTATACTGGGATACCCCGCAGTTTGTTGTACTCTGTTTTTTATTGAGTCCTTGTGGTCATTTTCACCCTCTTTAGCACGAACCTCATGTGGTCGACTTTACTTGTTACAAATCAAATGTAACAATCGATTATATAAGAGTTCAAAGCTTCCTTAAGTGTCTACTGATGTTTGCTGAAGTTCGCCCCCGTGGGGCATGAAAGTTTACGACAAAAGCGGAACATCTGTAAATCGTCGTAAATTCTTTCAAATGCCCAACAAGAAATCTACGACAATTTTTGTCGTAATTTACGACAATTTTTGTCGTAGATTAAGACATTTACAACAGAATCCACGGAGTTGACGGCAATGCATGCGCCCCATCGTCAGGAGCGACAGGAATAACGTTTTTTAACAGCAGTCAAGGTCTTCTGTTGTTCCCCTTGGTCATTGTCGCTAAAGATTTTACGACATTTTTTGTCGTAATTTACGACAGGCTATGACATTTTTTGTCATAATTTACGACAAAATCGGGAATCGGAGGATCTAATGACCATAGGTACTTTTCGAAACCTTTTACTTATAATCAAAAAGATTTCTGGATAACAGTGATCGCCGTTTTTCGAGGCATTTCGGACATTCGGAATATCCGAAATTGTCGTAAAAAATTGTCGTAAAGTTTTTCGACAATTTTTTGTCAAAATTTACGACAGTCTACGACAAAATCGGCGAAGTTGACGGCATTGCATGCGTGTCCGATTAACCGCTTCAAATTCTTTGTGGGATCCTACCCACTTGGCATTGGGGCCCGCAAGCCCTCCACCCTTTCAAAAATGTCGTTAATGACCCAGTCATTGTCGTAAACCTGTCGTAAATTTTGGGATATCTTGCAGTCATTAACGACGCAGCAAAGAGGTCTGCCTCCAGATTTTGTTGACAGGATTGATGATTTGGTGAAGTCTTTTATTGTGCTTCAAAAATCTCTGTGGCAGGCGGATCCAGCTATTGCAAAGCGTGCGATTGATGGCGATGTTGATGCAATCTTGTTGGGGGACTCTGATTTTGCAATGTACGTGGGCAATGGTGGGCCTGCTGACGGATGTGCTGACATCATGCTGCGGAATCCAAAATTGGGCAATCGCAACACTTCGTTGGAGAGTTTTGAGGACTGGGCTGGACAGAAGAAGGTTGTAGTATAGGGTCCAATCGAAAACATCATTTGTGACATGTCAGTGGCACCAAAAGACATCATGAACTTTGTATGTCTCCTTTCCTCTCTGACTCATGACTTCAAGAAGCGACAAAAGGGAGAAAAGAAGATCACTTTTGAACATGTGGTGCCCAGTTGTGTCATTGAAATGGGAAAGGAGTCAAGGGTGCACTCTGGTGAAAGGATACTCAAGCGTGCTATCCGCAATACATTGGATCCTGGAACGCAACGGGTGGACAGTGCCAAGTTCATCTTTGGTTATTTTCAAGGCGACCCTTGCCTAGTTGTTCTGGACCATAAAGTGAAAGCATCTATGCGGAATGCTGAATACTCAGTCGAGTGTGCTTTCACTGCAGAACATCTTGTTGCTAGTGCATGCAAATGCAAAGCTGGATGTAGGAACAGATCCTTGGCAAATTTGGGAACTCAGCGAGTATTTTGCACCCTCGGGCTGTTTCCACTTCTTCAACTATCACATCTTTTGTTTACCTTTTTGGCAGAACACTTGCTATATGAACTGCGAATACGATTGGGGAGGGATGAAGAAGCTTTCTCTCGATTGGACATAGAAGATAGAACGAGAAAGGTTCAGAGTGTTGGAATTGCTCTCTTGGAGACCATTCATTGGAAACTCCTTGATAGAAGCAGTTCGACACGTCCGATCGGACAGACGGACAAATGTCCGTTTGGTCCGTTTATTCGGGGGATTCCTATGAGT